ATTCGTTAACATAAGTAAAAATACTGAAAATAAATAATATAAATCTTATTAGATTCTTTCTAGTTTTTAATTTAATTATTTCACTATAACAAGATAAAAAAATATCTTTACAATGTTATTACGTATGTTATACATTTCTCTGGTTTCTGTAGGAGTTAATTACATTTATCTAATTAGAAGAAAACTTGAGATAAATGCAGCGCATTGAATACTCCAAATATGACATAGATGCAAACCAAAATCTGGAAGAACATAAAAACCAGAGGTGGTTGGCACGCGTGCCGTAAATGGTACACGAAATAACATTTTGGGCACCTCAGTAATCATAAACACTACAAATAAATTATGAAGTAGGTGTACCAATTGACGTAATAATCGCAGTCAAAATGATTCGATCCCACGTCTAAAACCGGATAAAACATTTCTTTAAAAAATGACACTTTGAATTTGCCATTTCCGTTCAAACGGAGTCGCGTGCGACAGCCAGTCTTTGCAGTTCTTTTGCAACAAGGAATATGTTATTGTAAAAATTCAAGCCAAGCTGTATTGCTGGATTCCCAACACGAAAGTTAACACAAACTTTTGTCGTGAGAATCGCGTCTGAGCATTGAAAACAAAAGTCCCGTAGGAACTTTGAATATTTTCGTTCCCGTTTTATGTCCGATTTCTACAAGACTATTGTTCTAGACTTTTATGGAACAAGACGGGCATGTCCTTATTTTCACATTTGGCACACTTCGAATGACACTGGTTAAGATTTTCAAAGACAACTGAATGCATTGTATTATATAATCTGCGCTTAATATATAATAGGGAAGTTTTATTGTTTGCACTAAATGGACTCCGAAACTACTGTAGTGATTCCAACTCGTTCATATTAAGAGCTCGCTTCTGACTCAACTATCTCATAACTGTTTAGTCGCGCTTTGATTCCTATAAGTAAACGGTTGAATTGGCTGCGAAACAATCGACAATCGCACAACAGTTGCACCATAGTTTAGACCAGAGATTCTCAACCTTTTTTTTTGTCGTGGTACATATTTAACGATTTCAAAATTTGGCGGCACACAAAGAAAAAGTTAAAAATTATTTACTTACTACAACACACTGCACAAATAGTTTATGACAAAAATATGCAAAATTTGACGGCACACTTTTGAAATTTGGCGTCCCACTGTACCGCTTCACAGTGGTTGAGAATCACTGGTTTAGACAAAGGTGTGCCCGCATTAAAAAACTCAAGACTACCTTCTGTTACAACATTTGATAGACATTCCCCAAATAAGGATGGTGTTAAAAATCAACAAACATTTCAAACATTGGGTCGGACCTTTTAACTTCCTAATATGACCAATTAGTGTATTTAAAAATGCATATGTTTTAGAACTGGTTATCGACTTCGGCGAGGAATAAAAGAAACCTCATTTACGCACACTTCTATCTTCCAGAAAATTCCAGTCAAAATTGGTCCAGCCGTTCCGAAGACATACCGAAACGAACGCCTATTTGCGGATAGACAGACAAAAGTATTTTAGTTTAGTAATAGTTTTTTTGTTACATGGAACGCAATAAAATCGTTATATACGAATTATAAATTTGTTTCATCCATACTAATATTATAAAGAGGAAAGATTTGTATTTTTGTACGTATTTAAATAACTGAAAACTACAAGGCCGATTTTAAAAATTCCTTCACCGTTAGAAAGGTAATTTATCTGTAAGTAACATAGGCTGCATTTTTTATTATTTTGCAATTTCACGCGGGCGAAGTCGCGAGCATCTGCTAGTGTTACATATAGATAATAAATGTTATTAATTTGCCAAAATGTAAAAGTTCATCTTACAAACTTTATAAAGCTAAAAAAACTATAACTTACAAAAAAATAGATGGGGTTAGAATAAGCAAAGTAAGTGAAAAATTTTAAATGTTCCTATTTCGACCCCAATCTCTGTCTACCCTTTTTATGTACACGGGTGAATATATTAGGTTGTTTTCACCTTTTAAACCAAATTTGATTTATTAAAAAAAGGGTGAGGGTCTAAAAATGCAAAGGTAACGTTTTATTCCGCAAATAAAATTGCTATACTTATGAGAACTCAAGACGGGGCAAACGTTCGTAGGGGTCACGATATATCTTAGGACCCCAAACGCAATGCATGTAAGGGTTCAAGAAATATAGAGGCCCTATTGCTTATTGGAGTCGGAACTAGCGAATTTGAATAAAAGGCTGTCGTAAAATAGTCGCCGTCGTATTATTGTAACCGTACTCTAGTGATGTGACATGGTATCAAATGATATCGATATTTTATCGACGACAAAACCTTATTATAAAATTCGCTCTGCCTGTTATCGATAGCGTTAATTATAAATTAAGTAAAATGGAAACAACACTGATTTTTAAAAGGATTTTTACTCAAAGCTATTTTAAATTACGATTTAATGTTACGAAAGAATAAGTAGTTAATGCAATAAACTTATAGATATTCAGAATTCCTAAAAATGATAAAATCACAATGATATTATTTGTATATTAACAAATAAAATAATTAATTAATATGAGATGCATAAACCACTTATCGATAATTTTAAGTTACATCACTATTAGAAACCTATCATCCCAAACCCTTCAACTGCGCTATAAACCGGAGTCTCCAGCGACCGGTCACATCTGACCCCCGACGGGTTAAGCTTTTCATATAAAGAGAATCTTTACGCCTTCTTTTCTCATTTCCAAGCTACAAGACTTTGCGCTTAGAAGTGGCTTGTGTAACGAACGTAAAATTCCGTTGTAGGAATTTTATAAAATGCTACTGGATTAGATTTTTAATTTAAAATAGCCTTTTTTTCTAAATAGCATAATTTACCTCATTTTAATCTTCATTTGAAAATCAAAAGATATCTCAATTTAAATACAAAATTCTTTCAGATGTAGAAGAAATAATAAACTAAACAAAGCAACGAAAACTCTGATTTTTTTTTGTATAGTAAAAGGGGGCAAACAAGCGGCGTGAACACCAAGGTGGTCAACGACGCCCATGGACATCCGCAACACCAGAGGAACTACAGATGCGTTGCCGGCCTTTGGGGAAATTGTAGGCTCGCTTCTAAAAGGACCCTAAGTCGTGTTGGTTTGGAAATACCGCCGAGGACAGACCGTTCCACAACGCGGCTGTGCGGGGCAGAAAGTTCCGCGATGATCTAAATAAGTTCTGTAAATTTCATGTTAAATACATGATAGTCATCATCATCTACCCTACCTTATCCTAATCCTGTAGGATGCACCGGGTTTTCGTCCTCCAAATAACTCTATCATCCGTCAGTCACTCCCTTCTTGATCATGTCATCCACGCAATCCATCTCTTTCTAAGTCTACGTCTACTGGTGTACCACAATCATAACTGACGTCCTTCTTGTTACAATTCCTCCACACATGCCCATACTATGCTAACCTTTTACTCCTTACTGAGCTGAGGCTACTCTAACTAAAGGTTGAATTCTTAATATTAGTCCCTTTCCATTTCCACCCTTTTCTTAAGAGGAGAGGATGGGAAGAAAAAGTGGATTTGGTGGTGGAGGAGACGCATAGGTAGGGAAAATGTCCTCTTTGTGTGCGTCTCTTCCTCCGTCAATGAAGGGTAGGCAACGCATCTGCAATTGGGGATGTCTATGGGCAGCGGTCGCTTTCCATTTCGGTGGATTCAGGTGGCCGCTTGGTCGTTTGCCACCTTATGTTATAAAAAAAAATATGATCAAAGTAAACCAATCTCTAATAGGTGAAATTGTCTATCGTGTTTTTATGTTAATGATACGCATAAGTAAATTGCCATTAGATTTACGAGGCAAATGGGAACTATGAACTTTACAACCCGCGGGAAGGCAATAATATTCCTTTAGGAAAAATCTCGTAAAAGACCACGGAGTAGGATTGACGTTAATAATGTTTGAGAATTTATATCTTTATGCGCGTCTTTCTGCACAGTTAATACAGTTTTATCGTTTTAGTAAAATACGGGGAGAGTTTCATTTGGCCACGCAACTTTATGGTTCACAGTTCGTATTTCGAGATTGGTAAGGACGTGCTTCAAATTCAGTATACCCTTAAATAAAAGAGAAAATGTGGTGGGAATGCAACTGTTAACAAAAGGATAAGATATGAAAACAGTATATTATAACATGATAGAGAAATAAGGAGAAAAGTATCGGCTTATGTGAAGAAGAACTTCAGTTATGAGTCTGGAGGTACACCGATACAGGTAGACTTAGAAAGAGATAGATGTATTGAAAGGTGAGATGATAAAGGTAGTGACGAAGACGACGAGGATGGCTACAAAGAAAGAGGACTACCGAAGAAAGTATGGATTGTGTATAAGAGGATATAATTGATGAAGTGTATTCAGAAATAACGGCTGAAGAGATTAAAAGACTACTGTGACGAGCCTACATAGAGATAAGGACAGATAGGTATTGTTACACTAAAATTCTCTTTTAAATAACTTTTATTTCCTGTTAACAATGCTAATATCATCAAAAAATGCCATATCATCCAAAAATCAAATTCTCTCATCGCAAAGATTTCTCATAGCCATAACCAATAAATTCCAAGTTAAATAAGGAAGTCGCATGACTTTCTCGTAAAGTAAAAACATTTCCGTCTTCTCATAATCTTCCCCAATCCATTAAAAACAAAAACGAAAGAATCGTATTAAACTTGAGTGTTTAATTTCGTCAGAAATGTTTTCCGAAGAAACCCCATTTTTACCGAGAAAATATTAAATCGCATAAGCGATTTTTTTTTCTTTTATTGATCTAAATATATTAGTTTGAGTTTTTATATTAAGTCATTAGGTATCTGTATGAGTTCAAATTAGAAAGAGCTATAATTAATTTAAAAAAATATCTTTAATTACAGCGCCATCTATTTTTATTCCCTAGTAAACTTTTCTCACAATTTATTTTTCAAAATTACAACTGAATATTTAAATTGCATAAAAGTACTTACATATGACATTAAGCGTAGCATTAGCTCGGATCACTTTATGCATTTGCGCCGGGCCCACTTGACACTGATATTCCGCGTCGTCTTCTAAAGTCGCGTTGACGATACGCAGGTTGTACACGCCATGCCTTCTGTCACCGAACATAGTGTACCGAGGGTAGCCGGGAATCACTGATGAAAAACCTGCAAAGATAAAATATGTTAAAATCACGTAACAAATATGTAAGTGTTAAACAAAACGGTTTCATCGTATTGATAACCTTTAAACTGTTGAGTTTTTGACCGTTGGTGTATAAAAGTGCAATAACAATAGTTGTTTGTTTTAACAACTTCTACAGACTCTTGGTCCGCACTCTTTTTTGCACACTTTCATTTTTCTTTTTTTTATTCCGTAATCCTTATAACACTAGTGAGTTCCTTTTTTTTAAATTACAGTTTTTTTTTCATAAATACATTTATACTACTATATAACAATAGCTGTTTTGTAAATATGGCATCGGTCAAGGACGTGCCATGAAGTAAAGTATTATCGATCTAACTTTTTAACTATTTTTTTTTAATAAATATCATATTGCGATCAATTTTACCCCTAAAGTTTAATAGCGTAAAAATATACGAGTATAGTCTTAAGCGAGTCGTAAGTGTAGGGCTTTTTATTATAGACTGAATGATTAAAAAATAAGCTGTAATTGCTGACATCCTACGCCACGAAGTAGTGTGTTTACGCTTTATTATATTTTATTATAATATTAGTCAGATAAAAAACTATAAAACCAATTACGTTGAATGATTTCATCTAAATCCATCTAAAATGTAACCAATCAATTTTTGCCCACATAAATAACAACTTATTTGGTTTATTATTTCCACTAACAACTGTAATTGTTATAACTAACATTCACATTATTTTTATGGCAACATTTCCTTAAGCAAGAACAATATGTTTTGCCTCAAGCTTGTATGTCGATCATTTTACATGTCTCTAATGATCTTTATATCTCCGATATTGTCTTGTTACTAAAATAATTTCTTACCAAGATAATTTTTGATTACAATGTTTAATCACTAGCTTTTACCCGTGACTGCATGTGGAATTAACGAAAGACTTATCCTATGTGTTAGTATATACTATGATTCTAACCCTGTGCCATACAACGAATTCCGCTTTGTAGATACGTAATATTAGTATGACAAAGCGTCAAAAATGATCTAAACAGTTGACAAAAATGTAATATTCATAACATTCTTGGAAAAAATGCTATAGATTGCAATAAAACGGACAATTCAGTCGTTTTTTCTAAATATTATCTTATTGTAAATTAACTAATATTTTTTGTACCATTATATTTACGATAAAAAGTAGCCTATAATATGCCCGTCAATGTCAGCTACCCTTCAGTGAAAGTCCGGTCAAAATCGGCCCAGCCGTTTCGGAGATTACCCGGAACAAACGCAGCTTGCGGACAGACATACAGACAGACAGCAGACAGACAGACAGGCAAACATTTTTTAAATGCAATTTTGGTTATCAGCAACGCAAATACATCTTCCCGAAATCTGGAATTTTTCCTTTGACATTACAAACAGACACTCCAATTTTTATGTACAGACAATAATCAAATGATTTCGAACATTCTAACAAGCGATCGGATACCAATGCCCTTAACTATTGCGATACATGTAAAAGAACATATACAGGGTGATTCTTAACGAACGGATCAACAGCTTTGTGGAGTTAGAGGACGTCAATAGTTATCGTTTAATCGCAAAGTCGCCCGATTTTTAACAATGTTTTTTTAATCCGCTTAAACGCTATAGAGGTCCTCTAACTTCACAAATCATCCTGTATACAACACCCATCTCTATTACTATACAGCAATTGCTACTCACGGTTATTCGTACTAAAACTCGAATACTATTACGTTGCCGTGACTTCACGGTATATAAGTTAATTACATCAGCATTCTATAAAACATTTGGTGGCGTATCCGCTGCGAAACAATTACACGGTTACTCGTGAATAGATTGCATAAAAACTATAGAATTAATCACTTAGTAATAGTGTTCAAGGGAATCTGGCCTTTTGAAGTACTTTAAAAAAATAAGCTTGATAGATTTCCCCTTTATAATACAGGGAAAAATACAAATCGAGTTGCACTTTGCTTCAACCATTTAGGCTACAGGTTAGAATGAAAGTAAAACTTAAAACTTAACGTAACTGTTACAAAGATAAAAGATTTGTATTTTAGTATGTATTGAAATAACTCGAAAAATACTGGGTCGATTTAAGAAATCTTTCACTATTAAAAAGCTACGTTATCCGTTAGTAAAATATGCTACATATTTTAATTTTCACGCAGGCTAAGTCGCGGTATTTATTTATTTAAAATAAATGTGTTTAGTTGAAAATATCAATAGACATGAGTTTAAATCTCTAAGAGAAGGGTTTCATCTTGCTTCCAGTATTAAATATAAATCCTTTTTTCGTGTTCTCAATCATTCGATGTAATTCTCTTAATTCGTGACATTTTCATAAGCTGTTACTGCCAGTGTTAATTGGTTATTATTTGGATCACGGGTTTCAGTTACTTCTAATTATTTTTGGAGATTTGGCGTCAAATAATTTCGATAAGCTACGGAAATAATATTCTAACAAATCAAGATATCATCAACCTTCCTTAAGTTACGTCAATGGATGGATGTCTGTTAGAGTTTGTAGCCTAAACGGCTGAACGGATTTCGATGAAATTTGGTATAGATAGAGGATAGTCTGGAAGAACGCATAGTCTACCCATTTTTGATTATTGTTTTAAAATTCCACGCGGACGGAGTCGCGTGCAAAAGCAATTAATTTAATAATTCCTTCATCTTTAGAATATATGCTATGCATGCAATGTTATCCCTTAGTAATATAGGCTATAATAATGTACATACACGAAGTCAGGAGGGGCAAATAACAAAGAAAACACTACAATAATTCCTTATATCTATTTTCCCAACCATATGTCAATATTAACAATGCAATCCAAGGATAGCTTCAAACATCTCTGTTGTGTTTCTATTATATTACACTGACCTAGTTGGCTTGCGGACGACATATGTACTCCTTACTTTAAATAAATTCAAGGAAAAGATCTTAATTTCAGATTTTAAAGCTGTTGCCTAAACATTTTGCAATGAATTCTACTTTAAATTTATTTAACTGGATAAATTCTATAAGCTTTTTCTAGTTTTCGTGTGTTTTTATTTGTTTAAATAGTGAAAATATTAGGAAACTCTAAGATTGTACTAAGGAATATATTAGGACGTTTTTACGGTAATCACTAACTCACAATAGTACACGAATCATAAAAAAATCTATAATAGTGCGCAGCACAAAACAAAATATTCCTTCGCGCAAACAGTAGAAATGAATAGACATCCCAACTGTATAATATTTCCTTACATTTCTAATACATCGGGCCATTGCTATTCAAAATATCAAGGCGCGTAATATCAACGAAATTCATCCCGTTCTCAACTGTTGACGGGCGTATTATTTAATCTACGCGCTAACATCAGAATTTGCAGGCGGCAAAGTAAAATTTCGTTACGTAACAAGAAAATTACGCAAAGATTATACCCTAAACAACGAGAGTATCAAATTATATCTCGTTTCTCCTTAAGCGCGTATCACATTGGTCCCTCGAGCAGGATACACTTAGAAATATATCACAGAGTAGCGTAATTTCTTTAACACTACAGTACGATAAGCGTTTAGCTTGTTGGGTAGAGGTAATGTGTTCGCTCTTTACCTTTCTAATTTGAATACTGGTGCTATTTGCCGTGTTTATACTAGTCTATGACTTCTGTACTAATTTGAATAACAAATGTAAAATAATCAAACTAACGTACGAATTTTAGTTATTTGTATCTAGAGAGTAACTGTTTGCTTTTCAACAAACTCCGACGGTTTCAACCAATTGCAGAGTTTTGCCCAACAAAACTATTTTGTAGTTCTTTACAAACCGCATTTGAATTTTCTATTTCACCGTATATCTACTGATATGTCTAAAGTAATGTAGTGAGAATTAGAAACATTACACGTTTCTCTTGTATTATTGTGTTTAATATTAATTGACGTGTCTACATCTTCATTAATCTATGTCTAATGTGATTAAACTAAATCACTTACCGAGTGCAAATCCATCCTTGGCCCATTGCACCTGACCGGCTAAGTTAGCGACAGCACACTCTAAAACAGCTTCCGCGCCTTCCTGAACCCGAAGGCTTCGCGGCACAACCCGGAAGTACTGTTGCTGAAAGGCGCACGCGCTCGCTAGGACTGAAACAAAAGAAAATGAAATACGTTAGTTATTTGTTTAAATAAAATTCAACTTAAAAATATGGCATATGAAACAAAAAAATCTGAACACATTGAATTGGCTCCCGATAGATGGCGCTGTACCCAATTAACTATTAATTCAAATTGAATTACTTATTCATACGCCTTATTAACTAATCAACCATTCGAATTAATTTTAGCTTTATTAGTTATGTAAACTATGTAACTTATATCTTATTTGTAGCCTATGTGTTCTTCCAGACTAAGTTGATCTATGCCAAATTTCAGGAAGCTCCACTGAAGCCTTCTGGCATACGTAGTATTATAGAAAAGTTACGCGTTCGCTGTATTAAAGTGAATACAAAAAATTATAACGCAATATAATTTGTCAGAAGACAAAGGACTCGGTTCATTGGAGGCTAATATTATCAGCGAGTGGGTGACAAGTGACACTTATATGGCGACGCGACTGTCACTTGAAAGGTGAACGCTCCTATACAGTGTGGTACAGCTTGCGTAATCTGGTGTCAGGTGGACACCAACCAACCCAAACCTACGTAAGTGAGAGGACAACATGAAAATGTATATTTCTGGTTAGAGGTAGTTTTTAAAGTGTAGTTTTAGAGTTTGTTGTGACAAAAGGTTAAGACTTGTAGTCTCAGGTTTTTTTTGTTTAATTTATTATTACAAGCTTTTATGTTCAAATAGTATTTCTAGCTTTCGACCGCGAGTTTTTAGGCGTAGAATATAAAAAATGGCAGGTAGGCTATATATTCTTACAGACTTTCTACATCTACGTATGTCAAATTTCATCGACATCCGTTCAGCAGTTAAGGCTTCAAACTCTAACATCCATCCATCTGAACTTTCGCATTTATAAAATTAGTACAATTAAATGAATAAAATTAGCCCTCAAAAATCTTTTAACTTGTACCACAAGATAAAGCGCAGTTCACACTAGCAAACGCGAGCTCTAGCGCTTGAATTAGCCCAAGCGTATTTGTTAGTACAATTGCCGCAGTGCACCGAGCCTTAACAAATGTCCATGTTTGTCCTTAGGGTTAGTATTTACTGTCTGAATCTAGACTTAATTCACATTTATATTGTCTTGTATGCGTAGATTTCGAAGAGAGAACTGGGCCGATATAATGTTGCGAGTTTTGTTAATGCTGGTTGCATTTTTTTATAGACGGACAAAGTTAATAGACCCGGTGTGCGTAAGTCTAAGTAAATTATGACAGTGTTCTAACAACCATTGTTAATGTCAAAAAAAGTGTCACGAGGTCCTTTTCGTACTGCAGCTGTCGTGTTTTGTTTTTCATGCAATTTTCTATGTTCATTTAGGTTTTAAAAATTCCCTGACAGAATTAAAAACAGCAGCGCTTCTATCACTTTACTATACTATGTTTTTGTTAATTATTTTTTCTTATTTTTTACGATATCGGACATATAATTTAATTACTTCTAGATCCATGAGCGTCGCCAGGCGATGATCTAGGCTAGCTGACGTAAAATGGTTTCATTCAAATTCAATTTGTCTATTTTACATTTTTCGACTCCCTAAGGGGGGAGCATCCCCCAACATAACTAGATGTCTAGATTAGTATCTGTAGGTCCTGTCTAATTCAATTTTCCTTAGTGAATTCGCTAAATCTGCTAAATTAGATTATTTATTTATACAGATTGTTATATGAACAGCCTATATACTAATGTTTCGTTAGATAATGGCTAATATATCAAGATTTTTTTTTTTTATTATTAGTCATAAATAAATCAAACTAGTACTAATAAATTGTAGGGAATCAGTGTTTAATCGTAAATCTAATAGAAGTTGCAAGACGCGACAACAAACCGGTAATTAAATGACAAGTCACACACACGCAAACACACATGACAATATAAGTATAGAAAATTGTTAAATCACCCACACATGTAAGTGTACTATCAATGGAATTTGAGCTTTATTTTTATTAGAGTTACAGTTGAAATTGGAACGCAAGTCGAAGTTTAGTGAAGCGAAGTCAGCGTCGATAGTTACAAACGGGATCGGGATAACCGCTTATTGCTTTTGAATTTAGAACGCTTAGTTGTGGTCAAAGCGTCGTTGGGAAGTTAAATAGAAAGTTATTAGAAATTTTATTAGCGGCCAGTGTTGGATTACGACAATTTTATTGTTTCTATTTTGTAATTCGAACGAAAGATGTAACGGCAATTAGAAAAGTTTTATTGTAAACCTTTTAATTTTGGATAACAATACTGTTAAAGCCAGATTTAAACTGAAAAATCGAACTGATTATTTAAAACTATGCAGTCTTAACTTTGAAACAATTGACAGTTAGAATGCACACACGTGGATTAAACTAAACTAAGGGCCCGTGCCACCAAATTTCACATTATCTGATAACAATCTAACGTGTAAAATATGTAATGGAAATATCGATTTTTGTTACCTTATCTGACAGTCACGTAATTTTTAAGCAATCTGAGCCGCTATCAGCCAGCGGTGGAGGCCATAAGTGTAGGGCTTTTTATTAAAAAAAATAAGAATTATTTAAATCCGTGTGTGTTTATGCTTTATTATATTAGTATAGTTAATTATAAGCTATAATTTGATTGATTTAATCCTGTTAGTTATAGATATACAATAGCTTTCGCCCGCGACTTAGTCCGCTTGGATTTTAAAAAAAAAACAAAGGTAAGTAGCCTATGTGTTCTTTATGTTCTACATCTATGCCAAATTGTATGCACACCCGTTCAGCAGTTTAGGCTACAAACTCTAACAAACATCAATCCATCTAAACTTTCGCATTTATAATATTAGTATGATTTAGAGCAATTAGATTGATTTCTTCTAAAGAGTAAAACGAAAAAAATAATTTCATTAAAGATCTCAGATTTTAAAAGCAGTCTGGATAACTTTGAAAGTTAATTATGAGAAATTGCGCGTCTACCAACAGGGAAGCAATGTCCTCGGATTTCGATAAAACGCCCCAAAATACTTCTAACAAAGAAAGCTCTGAACTCGAAGGAGACCGTAAACTTTTCGGACTGGTGACGAAGAAAAAACTCAGCAAAACATCCAAGTGAAGTTTATATATCCGAAACGAGGAACTTTTTCGAGTATTTAGTCCTGAGGAAAGTTTTATTTAAGTCAATTATCTTGACATTCTACGATATCAAAGACTGGATGGAGATTTTTTAAAAACATTACTTTAAAATGCAAGGAAATATTTTACGGCAAAGAATTTTATTAGCAATAATGCGGTAGCAGTAATAAATTTTAAGATACTTCAGTCTGCAAGACGACATGGAAATTATAGCTGATTCCAGTAATATTGTGGAGAATTGTTACAAGGAAATGAAACGAAGGCTGTAAGGATAACACTAGGTTAGAGAACATCATCTCATCATCATCATCTGACCATCCTTATCCTCCCGTAGGGTAAATGCCACGGTATTTCCCCCATCTATACAAACTTTCGCTTTACTAGCTTTCGCCCGCGACTCCGTCCGCGTGAAATTAAAAAATAATATAAAACATAGTCTATGTTACTCACTGACAACGTAGCTTTTTAATGGAGAAAGATTTTTTAAAATCGGCCCTGTAGTTTATTTCAATACATACAAAAATACAAATCACTCCTATTATTCATAATAGTATAGACTAGTTTTCGCCTGAGACTATGCGATGGAAATAAAAAAAACATTTCCTCCATATCAGTTAAGCGGGTTAAGTAACAAATATCCATCCGTCCAACCAATCGTTCCCAATTATAATAATAGTAAGAGTATAATAGTTTGACCGCGTTCTCTTTGATCCTATTTAATCCATTTTCATAATATAATAAATATTAACTAACTAGACTTTACAAAGATAAATTTTAATTAAGAAACTTAACTAATAAACTGTAAAATTAAAACTTTCATACGCATAAAGTTGAATGGATTTCGCCTTTGACTCCACGAAATTCCTAATACATTATCTAACACGAAGGCATTTTCTAAGGCTGTATCTAATCAGTATTAACCCTATTATGTAATAATACGGTTCAGTAATTCGAAACTCGATTAAGTATCGAAGTTACAATAACTTAGCTAACAAGACTTCAACAATAACCTAACAGGATACGATTGGGACCTAGATTGGACCCGGTCTACCTTTACCTCTAATTCGAACTACCTTGGTACTTTTGCCGGATCTGTATTCAGTTTGTATTAATAAACTAGTTTTCGTCCGCGACTACGTCATGGAATTTAACAAACAAAACAAAAGTAAATAGCCTATGTGTTCTACCAGACTATCCTCTACATCTATGACAAAATACATCGAGATTCGTTCAGTAGTTTAGGCTACAAACAAAAGTGAAGATGGATGGATGTTTGTTACGGGTTTATCTGCCAAAACGGCTGAATAGATAGTTATAAAATTTGTCTTAAATATAGAGGATAGTCAGGAAGAGTACATCAGCCACTTTTTTTAAATCCGCGCAAAAAGTCGCGGGTAACTCAAGTGTAATAAATATCTAGTGTTGAATAAAAAAAGAAACAAAATTAATTTCACCCAATCCCATTGGGCTTAACCCGTGACGAAGAATTGTGTTCCCTTAATATTCCCAGGGGTCTTATTAAACGGGGAAAATGAGGCTATTAATAATAGAAGGAAAAATGATGCTATCAATTAGGGTTGACGGTGGAATGACAGATAGTGACCCCTACTATGAGATATCGTTGAGGTAATCTTCGAGTGAGTAAGAATTAATTTTATAAGACAAGTGTTAATTTATGATAACAAGTTTGGTCGCTTTAACAGATAACAGTTTAAACTATACTTATATTTATTGATTAACTTTTTGAGAATTATTTAAAATAACAGTCGTATTTTAACGAAATAATCTAACTTTTTGTACGACGTAGATTTCTGCGGATATAATATTTAAGTTACCAAATATGACTTTAAATTTCATAAAACTGTTAATTTCATATCATAGAATTTTTATTATTAATTTTGAACAATATTGGTTCTGGTCGATCTTGATTAGACAACCGGTATAATCGAGATCGCTGGTATGATCGAGATAAGTTTTGATAGTAAGGGTAACTGTGCTTAGAATGGTATATAATGCATTAATACGAATTAGACACAAGTGATAGATAAGCTCAACGCGAATCCGGTGTTTGTTTTGAGCATGATTGAACGCTGAGATATTACATCTTCATAATTGTTAGAAGAGGTATACATTGAAAGTTTCGTATGGGAAATACATTAGCTACGTTATACAAATCCGGCAATGTATAGTTGAAAGCATTGATTAGATCGAGGAAATACGAGATGAAGAAATGCTGCTATTCTTAAGTGAAAAAAAATGATAGGTTTAGGCGACTTTAGGAATATGGATAGCTAAATATTACAGAATAAAATCATGTTCATGATAAAAAATATTGTCAGAATCATCTAGACCTTCACTGAAGATTTTTAAAAACATAACCTTTTTGGTAAAAAATTATCAACCCTTATCTTACTCCCGTAGTCTCGGCGCACCGGGATTGCGTCCTCCAAATAACTATCATACGTCATCTCAGTCATCACTCCCTTGATCATGTCACCTTTAACGTAATCCATCTCTTTCTATGTCTACCTCTACCGGTGTCCCACACTTATAACTAACGTCCAAAAAACTTATTAAAATTAATAACAATAGTAAAACAAAGATATTGTAAACCATAATTAGTTGCAGTGAAGGGCGTATTAGATATGACCAAGTCATAAAGGTAGACCTTCAATAGAACTCAATTAGGTAAAACATTTAGATAGCTTTTAGTCATCATAATACTGACATAAATTAGTAACCAATTTTATAAATCCGCATCCGGTATCAAGAACTAGGCGACGGCCAATTTATTTTTAAATTACTAGCTTTTTCCATAACTACGTGCGGGTGAAATTAAAAAAAAAACAAAAGTGAGTAGCCTATTTGTTCTTCCAGACTATGTTTTACGTCTATGCCAAATTTCAGCCAAATCCATTCAGTCGTTTAGGCTACAAAGTCTAAGAAGTAAGATTAGCTTTTACCACAAGTCCGTCCATGTGAAATTAAGAAAAAAAATAAAAGTAAAATCTTATCGAGATCAGTTCAACAGTTTAGGCTACAAACAAACATCCATCTAAACGTATTTATAATTTTAGTTAGATACCCAAGACTTTAAAAGAATTAACTTACGAGTAAAGTAGTTAAAAATGAAACCAACAACCATACAATTACTAGTTAATATATGTTGGTGACACTTTCATCTTCCAAGAAAACGTAAAAAAAGATTACCAGAAGACAAAAGAGAGCGTTCGCACATCTGAAACTATACTATCGCACTGTTTAGTCTTGCTTTGATTCGTACGAGCATATATGAAGGTGCGCACACTTGATTTTTAGTTCTGCAACTAGATGAATTGGCGGCGAAACAATCGACAATCTACAATGGCACAACAGTTGTGCGATAGTTTAGTCAAAGGTGTACAATGCGAAATGTTTTTTGCTACCTTATGTCTAGCACTACATTTCCCAGCCTCTGTCTTATTGATGTGCGATTTCTCACGGTTCAATACTCTGAACTATCTAGAAGTGCAGTCTTGAGAAGTTTCTAGACTGATTTGTTAGTAGGGGGCTATTCAATCAGTTGTAATCAGTTGGTACGATTCAGTTGCAGAATAACTTGGGAAAGAAAGATGAACTGTAGCTTCTAACTTGAAAGACTGCAGGAGTTTTATATACGGAAAAAAGTAATCCTCGTGTCCAAAGAATAGTCGAAAATAATCTTAAAAGAGAATCATTTAATTGATGTAAATTGGTTTGAAATTGCGTGGTATGGACATGTTATGCGACGAGATGGGGACATAAACCAGAAAGTGTTAAGATTGAATGTGTGAGGCAGAAGAAAGTATGGATTGTGTGAAAGAGGATATGCCTAAGAAGGTAGTGGATTCAGATATGACGGCTGATAGAGATGTATGGAAGAGCAGCAAATATTAAGGACAAGTTGATGATGAAATTAGTTTAAAATGAGTTGAATCGTTTGTAGAATTACAATTTCATATGTGACAATTTACAGTGTGTATATCTATAGATTTTTTTGTGTTTGTTTATTGTTTTTTCAGCTTGTATTAAGTAAGAGGGGTGAAATCCCATTAGATGCATAAAAGTTTGTTGTTAAAACCAATTTGATGATTAGAAAAAGGGTCGAGCAATTAAGGTCTTGTAATTAAAACTGGCCTCCACCCGCTCTAAGTTAGGGCGGAATTATCGCCCGCCCAAACTCTATTGTAAGGGAATTTCAACTTTTCATCCGTTAAAATATTAAATTAATTCCGTTAAACAAGGCTTCAGGAATTCAGTAATTTCAAGGGGTTTCTTTTGGGATTACATGGTACTGATACGCTTCGATAAGCTTTTGTTTTTAAATGTTTTAATAGCTTTTTGCTAACAATACTAATCGAAATGTAATGACGATTTTCAAATCATTTACTTTGACATAAATAAATATAAATTTAAAATAAATTAACCGAATTAAAATGTCATTGTTTTCAATTAAATATTACATAGTTTAAAAATTTGACTTCGTAATAACATAAACAATGGGCTTATTATTTTAAGATTTTTCAAATTCAATAAACAATTGTTCTATAAGTAACATACAAATTAGAAAGTACACTCGATTGCATAAAAAAGGGCACGATACTTGAGCGACTGAAGTAGGTCGCTGCTTTTAATTAAATTTAAATCAGTACTAATAAATATCGCCCCTTCATTTACGAGTGCCTTTTGTTATATTAAAATATTTGCGATTGTACGCGTGGAGTTTTTTTATTTATTTGTGTTTACAAAACCGAGGTTGCTGCTTATTGACTTTATTAGCAAACGTATTGAAGCAACAAAAAGAAATGGAATTAGCAAGTTTTTTATTTGTTGCCGTAAATATTCGTGTTCTGTTGATTTTTTTTGTTTATAAACTTTGACCGCAAGTTAAGGTCAATGTTAGATTTTTATAAAAAATTTCAATAGTTTTCGTAATGTTTAGAATATTGAAGAATTTTTTCATTTTATTTCATAAATCATACATGCTCACCTTTTATTAATGAATTGGGTATTGCCACCTTGTTAATTTATTAAATTTTTATTGCATTTAAAGCATATAAACCAAAAATAGGCGTGTTATAATGGACCTTATATACTAAAGTTTACAGTTTAATTTAACTTACCACATATAGTGACGAACAATTTTGACACTTTGGCACACATGATGACTTGAACACTCACTGCACATAACGTCAACGACTGTCAATAATCACCTCCACATTGTCACTAAACACTATCCGCACATCACTGAAGTCACTCGTCCCAGTTTTTTTGCTATCAAGTGTACTTCAATAAAATCACCAACACGTTGATTTCAAAGTCCGGGCCATCTGTAAAGAGAAACAATGTTAATCATGTAGTTTTTAATGATTTTGATGTTTCTGTCTTTTGACTAAAATATCGCACAACTGTTTAGTCTCGCTTTGATTTATATCATCTTATATAGAGGTGCGCAGACTACTTGATTTTTAGTTTGCAACTAAACAGTTGAATTGCGAAACAAACGACAATCGCACAGCAGTTGTGCGATAATATAGTTAAGGCGTGTATGACGTCATTTCTTTCATTTTGGCAAAAATGGTACAACAATATGTAAGTAAAACAATTGAACAAAATCAATACTAACGAGACGAGAAACTTAATACAAAGCTATTTATAGTGTTCTTTAGAAATGTTTAAAAATTCCACACACACCACATTCTGGCAAGAACGAAGCCTGTTAAACTAGTATAGCACGTTTGCAAGTAATTTTAATGTACCTACATATTTAAGTAATAGTTTTTATCCTACCTTCAATTTATATTGTCTTGGAATGTTAAATGAAAATTTTAATAGCGTGAACGATTTCATAAATCTATACTATCTATCTATACTTATTATAATAAAGCGTAAACACACACTTCTTTGTTGCCTAAGATGTCAGCTATTACACCATATTTTTGAATAAAAAGCCCTACACTTACGTCATGCTTTAGGCTATGTATTTTCACGCCGTTAAACTTAGGGGCAAATATTTTGGATAAAAACACTAATGGGAAAGGGACCATAAGTTGCTGCCAACATCAAGGAAGCAAGACTGTCAAGGTTTGTCATGTCATGTCATTTTTACATTTGCTATTGATAATTTGACAAAAGTAAACAACAAAATAAAATTTTCACAATTTCATGCGGATGAAGCCGCACGGGAACAGCTAGTCTTTAGTAAAAGGTTCGGAGTGAAATTGGGTAAAGAAAATTAAATTTAATTATGAAATAAAATTTTTTGTATATGCATGAAAAGTTTATATTTTTTTTTGTTTTTGAAGCTTAAATTCCGCTTTTGTAACGGACACGAGTATTTCCAGCCAGTGTCAATTTACTACAGATATTTTGTTATTTTATATCCCTAATTCGAAATTCAAAACGGACACAAGCTATAAACAACAAAAAAGAAAAACGAGTTAGCTTGTTAAAGTTGATCTAGTCGAAGTAAACAAAAAATGTCGAAGGGAAAAAAAACGTTTTTTTAGGACAGAAACTGGCGTCGTTAAATTATAACGACATATTAAATTCGTTGATGAAAAAAACGTTGCGTTACGAGCACGTTGTAAAATTGACGCATAATTCCCTTTTCCCAACTGAGTCGTAAATACGGTCGCGAAATAAATAAAAAAAAATTTACTAACTCCCTTTTTAATGATATTTTGGGATGATAATGTTTTGTTACGGGATATAAAGGGTTTCGAAGTAATTATGTCGCAGTTTAAAAGCCAGTTATACTACAATATTAAATTACTTCGTGGATTTTTTATAACATATCTTTGGTTAGTTTTTAAACTATAACTTAACTATTAAAGTTTGATCACTGGCCGAAAATAATACAAAACCAACACTATCTCATTTTTATTTTTATTAAAAACCGGCTTGCTACCATCTGGTCATAATGAATTCCAAATTCAAACTATCGATTAGAATTAATTTGAATATTTAAAACCGCCGTTCAGTCTAGGTTCGAAATTTGAAATATGGAAGCTAGACGTATCTAATGATCTCATAGAATAAGCCCACTCGGTGAGAAGTCATTAAGTATTTCTTAAAAAACTTGAATCGAGATTGCCACATACTATCTTTTTAACCCACGCTAAGCCTATTTGGGTGTCGCGTGTGGTACAAGTGAAAAGAAATTGAATTATTTTTTTTATTGCGTAATTTCTCTTAAAACTTAATACAAAGAAATTACTTATGGATATGTCCATAAATTTGTATCCCGAATATAAAAATTAAAATGAAAAATTACTAAAAAAAACCTGCTTGTCTATGCTTATGACATTTAGGAGAATAATAAAAATCGAATGATAACTCAATCGTCAAAGTATTTTCAGTAAAAACTAACTAAGTTACAGAAGGCTTTAAAGAAATTGCCTTACAAGCATGAAATACCTTTCGACAGTTTCTTATTTCGTAATACGCAAAGTTTTCAACTTGGGCCATACAAATACAGCTAGATGTAGGAGTAACATTGTTTGTGTGGGGCAATTATTTTGTCTGTTCGTGTGCTCCAACCTTTTGTTGCTTACATTTTAGAATATTGTTTGTACAAACTGTTAGGACAATTCCTTAAGATTGTTTGGATTAAATTTTTCTAAGGAAATGAGATTCTTTAGATTTTTCTTTAGTTCCCATATATTGTTATAAGTTTGTTTATGTTAAAAGAATCTTAATAGATAAATATTATAGGAATTTTATATTTACATTATTGCCTATATTCCGACGCTCGTTTCTACGGGGACAATGTTATAAACAGCTTTGTTAGGTATAGAGGAGGATGTTTTTGTATAAGAGGGGAGAATCTTATACAAACCATAAAAGCCTAAATATTGATAGTTAAATTACATTTTTTTTGACATTCAATTCGTCTTAAATTTATCTATACGTATAATAAAATTGGAGTGTCTGTAATATCATAAGATAAATTCCAGATTTCGAGAAGATGTATTTGTGTTGATAACAACGCCAAATGCATTTTTTTGTCTGTCTGTCCGCAAGTCGTGTCTGAACGAAAATTGCATTTAAAAAAAATTTGTCTGTCTTTCTGTCTGCGGATTTCGGCTGGGCCGATTTCGACCGTACTTTCACTGAAGTGTAGCTGGCATAGATATAAGCTACTTTTTATTTTAATATTGCGTTGACACGAAAATAAGGAGTAAAAGGTTAGCGTGGTATGGGCATGTTATGAGAAGGGATGAATCGCATGTAACAAGAAGGACATTAGTTATGAATGTGGAGGTAGACCTAGAAAGAGATGGATGGATTGCGTGAAAGGTGACATAATCAAGAAGGGAGTGATCACTGAGATGACGGATGATAGTTATTTGGAGGACGAAAACTCAGGGCGCCGACCCTACGGGAGTATGATAAGGCAGGTGTGATGATGATTGCGTTGAAACAAAGTCGCGGGCAACAGTTAGTTTTAACTTATTGATACTGTATTGACTTACTATAACTCAAAAGCGATCCCTACCAAAGTAAAAAGAACTACAAGATCCTTATCCTGTCATTTTATATGTCCAAGTTTCACCGGACCAAATACCTTCGTCGTACTAGTTACGAGTATACTAGTTGTGTTTTAGTACTGGTCATCACATAACCAGCTCACTATACCTCCCCACCGAGGGGCTCGGAGCCTACCCTAAGTAAGGGGTGATTAGGCCATAGACAACCACGCTGGCCCAGTGCGAGTTGGTTGATTTATACATATCTTTGAATTTCTTCGCCGCGATATGTGCAGGTTTCTTTCACCATAAGAACGTCGGGTAAATTATGTATATATGAAAAATCAAAAATCACATTGGTACAGCGGGGTTCGAACCCAAGACCTGTAGATTACAAGTCAAGTGCTTAAACCACTGAGTCACTGACGCTCTCAGTTTAGTACTGGTGTTTGACTACAATTATGGTCGAAAAATACATAAATATAGTAAAATAATGAGCATAAACTATAAATATTGAAAACACATAAAGTCTTGTATAACTGTTACATACAATAATGGGATAATAAAGTGGTATCGTAATAATTTTATATGTTAATAAAACATACTATATTGCTTGTAATAATGTCGTTTTAGTGTAATTTAATTTATGATAGTATGTAAAAAAGATAGGGTTACTAGAAATAGAAAAAGTATAACAAAAATGTGAATTATCATGATCTTGAAACTAACTTTCGCTCGCGACTCCGTCCATGTGGAAATAAAAACTGAGTAGCCTATGTATTCTAGAGTATCCTCGACATCTAATACCAAATTGCATCGAAATACGTTCAGCAGTTTAGGCTCCAAACTCTAACAAACATTTATCTAAACTTTCGCATTTATATGAGTAGTATGAAGTAATTTAAAAAATATATATTCTAATTTTAAATTATACCTGGCTAAACAAATGAAGATTAACAAAAAAAACATTCGAAATTTAAAAACGCCAACGCTAACATAAATAAATAAAAATCCAACACATTCGCAATAACCGACCCATGTGCTGGGTCCGTGGGAATCCAATCCGACATGTGCGCGACAAGTGGCGCAACACTATTGCCGTCTTTTTTATTTCAAAATCCACTGACCAGTTGATTTGATTTTTTTATTGACGTTTGATTTTGTAGTACAAATGAATTTGAAGTCGATTTTCAAAATTGTAGTTATCAATAAACGTGTTGTCTCAAATTTTAGAGAATGAAAGAGATGTGAGAGTAATAAGAGTGTTTTGTTCCAACGCTTCAAATTACGTTAATAAATGCAAATCCTACCAATCTTATTACTATTATAAATGCGAAAGTTTAAATGGGTGGATGGATGTTTGTTAGAGTCAGTAGCCAAAACGGCTGAACAGATCTCGATGAAATTTGGTATAGATATAAAGGATGGTCTGGAAAAAACATAGCCTACTCACTTTTGTTTTTTATAATTCAACGCGGAAGGAGTTGCGGGCGAAAGATAGTCAGAAATAATAAAGTAGAAGGCGGAGTAAGACCTCATTAAGCTGATTAAAGCTTTGTAAAAAACAACGGATTATTTGAATATCGAACAACGATCGTTTTCAATTTAAAAAATTGAATATCGAACAGATCCTTACTTTTTTTATTATCTAATGGCCTCTTTAAATATGGCCAGATTCCACGAACGATAAAACTGCGAGCATCAGGGAGCGAATTAGATATCCCTCGATCACGTTTATAATAAAAAAAAATATGCTAATTTTATTACTATCACTAATGTAAATTGACTAAAATCGAATATTCTATAATTATAACTGGCCGGATGCAATCTTTTAACTTTTTATACTCTTTGATATAAAA